CATGCCATCACAATTTTGATCCTCTGCGGAGGGGATGGCACCCCCGCTTCGGTAGCTCGACGACCTGCACGTGAAGTCGAGCACTTTACGGTAGAACAGTTTAGCGAGGGCCAATACAGCACACCCTCGGTACCTACACAAACTAATTCAAGCGGTCACCCAACCGCACACTGACCGCAGCCAGTGATGCTTGACTTCGGTGATCTGCTGGGAACCGTGTCTTAATGATCTTAATGTCTTAATGATCACTGTGGGACGTTGCTGTCTAATACTTTTTAGAATTCCTTTTTTTCCCATTGGAAGTTGGAAGGCATGATTTGTGTCAAAACTCTGTATTGATTGCTATGACAACGCAGCATTTTATTTTGTGAATCGTTTTGACATTATTTTGTTAGTATAAGCTTTTGAACAACGCAAAAAATCATCTATATGTATGCAATGTGAGCAGATGTATAAATTTTTATTATTGAAATCAGATTGTTATCTCCATGTTATAACCATTAACATATGTATACGATTAAAAGCCCAAATATATTGCTCAATTCTTACCTCATCGAATAAAGAACTTGACAGAAATTTAGGCAATGCTCTCAGAGCAGCAGTTCCTCTAAATGTTAGGGGAGTCACATTCCATTTCTCAACTGGTATAATACTCTTGGCCCATTCTAACAAATATGTAATATTTTGTACTGCCTGAAAGTATGTACGATTAATATACTAAGAACATTTTAAGAGAACAGTTATTGTAGTCACAAATACGTTTGATAAAAAAAATAGCATACATAGATTAAACAACATTATACGCAGATCAAATAAGGAAAAAATATAGCACATCAGCTTTTCTTATTACTCCTATTACTAGTTCTTCACAGTTCAAATTGTGGTGAATCTCTTCGAGTTTGATGTTGAGCAACCGATAAAATTGTGTAAAGGAAAACTTTTTTTTTTCAATTTCTACTATTAGTTCACTCTCTTCCTAATATATTGTTCAAATTTTCAATCGGTTTTAAAATACTTTTTATTCATCCTCTGAAGTTCAAATACGTTTTTTTTAAAACTTGTAGATGACACTTGATGTTAATACAGTTTTTCTAAACATTAATTCATTCATTAAATTTAATTAATTAATTTCAGTTTATATGGGAGGAAAAATTGCAATTATTTAATAAAAAGTAACTAAAATAAAATTTTTCTTTGTAGATCTAAGTAGAAATTGATTTAATTTTTTTTATATTACTTGCTTTTAATTAACACGAAAGCGAATGGTGTAATAATGGTAATATAATTAATAGTAATTCTTATAATGTGAAAAAAGTTACATTGAACTGACGTGCTTTTACTTTATACGTTAAATATTTTCATATGTTAAATATGTTAGAGCGTTTTGGATTTCGCTAGTAGTTTGTTTATATTGAATACATGTTGGATAGAGATTGAAGTTTGTTCAATGCTGTTAATTAACTGAAACAAAAGTTTGTCGTTAAAATATACATGTATGTTTTTAGTTGTGTAATAAGGATATTTATATTTTAACTCAGTTTTTGTAAATTGTATGAAATAACTTTATAATGTATAATTTCTATCCACTTTGGTTTCAGTTAAGCCTAGTTCGTCTTAAAATTCTCTCTGTCGTAATGTAATTTTATAATGTATAATTTCTATCCGCTTCGGTTCCGTTAAGCCTAGTTCGAATTCGTCAAAATATTCTCTCAGTACTTTGCAAGCTAATTGAATTTTAGGAACTGATGATGAAGAGATATAAGCTTCCTAAATTAAAGTTTCTTACTTCAATTAAAAATAACTTTACTGACTCTTATTTGCGCCTTATCTCAATGCAAATATAAATATTTGCGTTACTGAATACTAAAACTGGTAGAAGCTCTTTTACACAGAGTAGTGTAAAGAACATTCTTGGTGTAGTACTACGCCAGGAACTGTCATTTGTTCCACACCACTTTTATGTAAAGTAGTTGCCACCATTTTTAGTGTTAAATTTTTTTTTTTTACAGTATTGAACGTTTTAGAGTTTCTTTCTTAATCAAAGCTTGTTTATTTTAATCATTTATACATATTTTAACCGGCATCTTATTTATTTTGGTTATTCTATTTTATGTAAGCAGGATTTGTTCTATGAATTCCACCAACTTATCATTTTTGCATTTCTACAGGCAAAAGGTACTTTAAACTGTATGCAAGTGCTTTATTACATTTTCTATTTTATTCACTTTAGTATATTTTTACCTTCGTACCATTTTTCCTACTTCCCGTAACTTAAATGAGTTTATACTTTTTATCTGATTTTGTTCACTTTTAAATAGTTGATTTCGCTAAAAATAATGCAGTTTGAGGAAATTGGGTGCTTGCAGTTTGAGAAGAGGTAAAGTGATTATGACTAACCGTGTGATTTTAATCAGATTTAATTGGATACCTGTAAGCGACGTCACGTGTGAGTATAGAAATTGATTGGCTTCTGAATCGACAGATGTTATGATTTACCTATAATGACTTCGCATGTATCCAATTGTAAATTGTAGTATACATTTCCCCTTTTGAACAGTTTTAACATATTGCTTGCATAGAGTCTCCTTTTTTGGACCTTTGACCATTGAATCATTTATTCATTTCTGGCTCCTGTGCCAATAAACGTCGGCCAGCTAACTGCACGTTTTCAATATGAATTTTATCTTTTGCTTTGCATAGCATTCCCTGATACGGACTTTGTTTAATTAAATTCAGCTTTCGATTCGATTAAGACAAATGTAATCCTTTCTTAAAGTTTCAGTTTGATTATGGTACAGCCTTCTTTGTCTCGCGCGCCGAAAACTTACCATTAAGTAATTTTCAACTTAACTCCACTCTTATTAATCTACTTACGTTCTGAGGTTGATATGCGAAACTTGCAAGTTCGGGCTTAATTTTTATGCCTTTGACTTCAATATCTTCTTCCAGTGTCGCATTATTACCTAAAAATGGTTTAAAATTGTTAATTAATAATTTCTTAAAAATGGTTTATATATATATATATTCGAATCCCTAGTCAATGCTAATTCTGCTTACGGCTCACGCAAACCACATTGTTAACGTAAAAAAAAAATCAGTTGTAAATGTATCATGCGTCTCCCCTTGTATCAAATCAAAATGTATCAAATGAATCCCCTTGCCGTCGAGTTAACCGTAGAAGGTTTTTGTAACTTTCCTTTCTGTGTAACGCATATGTGGGCAATGCGTAAAGAATTCCTTCGCGCGAAATATAGTTTGTCCAAATGTTTGATCCAGGAGTTCTCTCGTTTTCTCGGTTGGGTTCAAACTAATTATTGATATTCGTAAACCTAAAAATGTGTTGGATGTTCAACGCTAGTTATAAAAACTTTGTTTTGAACAGTAATTCAGTCTATTACTTAAAAAAAACTGTATTGAATATTTCTTTCCATGCTTTCACAATTTTGGTCTTTTATAATGGTTATTAAAAAATATATATATTTTACAGTCAATTTTAACCTCGAGTTAAAATAATAACAAATAGAATGTGGATATTCTCTGTTTTAAATAAAGAATTTTTTTTTTAAATGCTTGTAAACTAGGGCATGAAAACTTCTTTAACACTAAACAAACAAGCTTATTAGATGTCCTATACCTGATTTGTAAACAATACGGCTACGTAATTGTAATTTTGAATGAATCATGAAATGCTTACTTGAAATGTAGGAAAAGAAAAATACGTTGACTCGAGTTCCAGTGCTTCCCCCATCAAGAACTATGACATATTTTTCTTTTGTTTGTTCTTGGAACTTTCCTCTCATGTACAGAAATGATCTCATTTCAAATTCGAGAATGTAGAGCAGGAATGAAGCAGAGATAATATAAAACATCCATTTTAGCACGAGTAGATTAAATGTATTCATACGCCAGAGGGAGGGATTGTCAGGCACCTACTTTATTCTAAACATAACAAATAAAAATAATACAACGAGGTAATGAAAACAATTTGTTTATAACTTATATTTTCTAATACGTTTTCTAATTTGGGAACTAGCTTGTTTAATTTCAAAGTTATTCAACTTAGATGTAACTGTTTTCATAAGTTCGGAAAAGAGTGCACAAAGCACAGAAAAAGAAGCATATTAAAAGGAAAGTGTATACCGTGCTAATAGATTATATTTTTTTAATTTTTAAGTTTTCCACATGAGTTCCATGTTGAATAACTTAAGATAAAAAAAAATTTAAAATTTACCGAATTGTGAATATCTTTTTGATTTAAAAGTTATTATTCGCAGTTCAAAAAACGTGCACTAAAAGTAAAATAAGCAAAGGTAAAAAAATAAATTAGACTGGTGTCTTTAAAGTTTTTTAAATTTTAAATTTACTTTTTAGGTTTAAGATTATTCAATAAAGTTGTAGGTTCGATTTTATTTCTGTCTAATAGCAAAAGAAATAATAGCTGTCCGAGAGAATTTATGAGTTGAAAAATAACAATCGTGGCAAACCATTTAAACCATTTTCAACCTGATCGAAGAAAAATGAGTATATGAAATAGAAATCTCTTAAGAGAAATTAAATTTATACATTTCTTTGTAATAAAGGATAAGTGATCATTGTTTAAATCAAAACGAAATTAAGACCACTTAAGAGAATCAGTTTTGCAAATCACCAACAAAAAAGTTCTTTTTGCTCTTCAACTCAGTTGCTCTATTTTCCATGACTGCAGAGCGACCCGCGTGTAATTTTTTGCTTTAAGCTTTACTGTGAATAATAATTCTCGAATTAATCATACAATATTAATTTTTATTTGTCTCATCCTTCTTTTGTGTACAACATCAATATTTTATATACATATCATTGTATACAACATGTATTTTTTGATACATCCTCCTACTTTCAGGATTATTTCGTGCAACAGAGCAATGTGTCCCGTAAAGTTGAAGATCCAAAATAGCTGTAACCTTTACGATTTTTTAAAAAAGAGTGGTCTAAAGAAATAGATAAAATAAAAAGAAACGTTTTTACCTTTAAGCTGTAACTATATATCCAGTTAACCTCATGAAATGACAGCGATTACGAACAACAACAAACATTGTGCAAACAGTGGAAATTTGTTTTTGCTTAAATGAATTCTGTGCCATTAAACCACATATTTCATACCGTTTCTGGGTAAAAATAAAGACACGTGTGAACGAATATTACCTTCATAAATGTTTACATAGAAGAAAATATGAAAGATGTAAAAATTTAATGATATTTTGTTTTGAAGACGGGAAAATGTAAGATATATAGATTAAAAAATTAAAAGGCGAGATAAAAATGTAGTGCAATAGCTGCGGTTTTTGGTTTATTTAAAAATATGAGCTCAGTTTACTTTTTTATTAACGTTGAACTTTTCAATGTTTTAAATCTATATCCGTCTACAATGTGAATTTTATCTACAATGTGTAATTTTATCTACGATGTTTTAAATCTACATAAATGTTTAAATGTATTCGAAAATATTTGAAACTAATTTCTGTGTTCTTATGCTCTAGATAGTAATTTAATAAAATTGGAAAGGTATTTATTTTAAAAAAGAAATTTTCTCTCTTTTAAGAAATTTATTAGTATTTCAGAACACTTGATTGATGCCATTTTGATTTAGTTTTTGTTCTTAAATGGGGTCTTTCAATAATTTGACCCCTACGGTACTTCTAAAATTTATTATTATTTGCCACTGAATGTGAAATTCATAAATTAAAGTGACCTCGATTTGAATCTTAATGGCAAATGTCTTTCAATACGTAAATTATTCTCAAGAAAAATTATGATACTGTCTGAAATTTTGTCATTTATTAAGAAAAACCAATAGAGAAGATTTCTTTTTGACTTACTAATAACGTCACTTTAATATTTTCTTTAAACCTAATAACTGTTTTACTAACCCTGAAAAGCAAACCCGTGCTCGTCTACCCGTTTAACCTTGTTCTTAGAAGGTTAAAACGTACATTTTTTGGTAAACATGATTTGCACGTTCACGAAAAGTTTGAGTGTAGCGTTTGAGTTTGGTGCATCCTAGCCGCATCCTGCTTCTGAGCATTGAACCATTTTTATTCAATTCTAATTACGTTTAAATTAATCCGGATATAAAAATAATTCACGGCAAAAGCGTTGGGTTATGTAAATAAAATTATTTCCTAAACTGAGAGAAGGCAAGTATAAATTATAAATTTTTAAACAAATGATTGAAAACCATTTAAAATGTTCGATAAATAAATTAGCGCAGAATATATAAAGCAGAATATATAAAATTATACAGCAGGATTACAGTGTATAAGCTACTGAAAACTTTCAAACTGCTACCAAATTCTAATTCTAAATTTTCAAGCGTTACCCTATATTTTAAGCTCTGATTTGCTTCCTGGCATTTATTTGCAACAACATTACCTTTTATTCTCTTAATACCATTAAGCCCTGTATTAAACTCAATTTCCAGTATCGCAAATTGTCTACTCAAGTGTTTGTAGCGAAGGCTATACTGAAATATTTTTACCATCTTGCAATAAATGAGATTTTATAAAATATACTTAACTTTTAAGACATCTCTTTACTTTCTTTAAGATAAAACAATATATAACTTCTCTTATAAAGGATTCATTACAACTTTAGACGTTTTGACCCAGCTATTTTCAATAGCAACATAAATGTAATGCTTTTATACGTTCTGTTACTCTTTTATAAAAGCAAATCCAGAGGTTTCAAAGTTTAAATATCCGTAATGTCATTTTGCATATGTAAATAGCATAAATTTTTATAGAATTTCAGACAATTAATTGGTAATATAGTTGGTTGCCAACATCATATGATCTAGCCATTTCTGGCTAATGTGGCAAAAGCTAAGAATCAACCAAATGGTAAAAAAGAGCCACAATTGGCTAAATTGTTTCAAATTTGAAAGATATTATCGATCTAAATCAACAACAAAACGCACTCTGCTAATTCTGATTTCAACCCGTTGCTCGTGCTGAGTTTACGTAGGTGTAAGCGTTAAGCTTACTCATCTCCAAATTGTTCATACTCGATTGAGTCAACTTTATTTGCCGTTCGGGAAACTTTCTCTCCAATGCAACACTTGCAACGTTTTACTTATGCCTCACTACATTGTAATCGATTATTAATATTAGACCAACATAGTCTTAGCTTTTTTGGAAATTCTATTTTATTTAAGAAAGATCTGTTAGATGAAACCCATCATCCAAACATCTTCAAATTTCTACAGACTATTGGAATTTTGAATTGCATATAATTTATTATAAAAGATAATATTTATATTATATGATAGTTATTAATCTTATGTTGTATATAATGTATAACTTATTTTTGTATTATTGTGCTTAGAATTATGATTTCATTCACTTTTAAATACATCTGTTTTATTCCACTTTCTGTTACAGTTTTTTAATGCATTTGTACCATTTTATCAATTTTGCGAATTCTATTAAGAGAAGTTTGTATCATGTATTTAGCATTTGGATTTGTACCATTTTATCAATTTTGCGAATTCCATTAAGACAAGTTTGTAGCATGTATTTAGCGTTTGGATTTGAATAAAAACACTTAGTGGATAATGCCTGCTATTCTTCACATAGAGCCAGTTAAATGCTGCATTTAATCGATTTGCAGAGCAACAAAATCAAACGGAGGTGTAAACCAAGCTTGACAGAAAAGAAAAAAACAAGACAAAAAGGAGAAGCTTCTTTGAGTACCTAGATGTCATAAAGGCCTGGGTAACGCAAACACTTGAAGAAAAGAAGATTTACTAATTGCTAAAACAAATAAAATTGCGGCCTTTTGAAATAATAATAATATGGAAAATCTTTGAAAGGGAAATGCTATATAATGGACTTAATACTTTTCGCCAAAGTCTATATGTCTCAATTACATCTTATCTTACTGATCTAATCGAATTGATTCTATCTTTTGCTTTTTGTAAAAAAAGTTTTATTGCTTTGTTTATTGTATCATCTGTGTTTTATCCACTTTTCACCTAATGACGATATTATGTTTCGCTGACGTTTATCCTCGGCGAAAATTAGTTTAGTTCTTCTTAGTTTGATTGGCCGAGGCTGGAGGCGAGCTGTTCTTAATATATAATGCATTAAAATTTATATATTTTTTGACCTTGGTAAGTGCTTTCATTTTTAACATGTGTTTAAATTATTTTAATTGAAAGAACTAGAAGAAGCAAAGCAAACTTACTACAGTAGAACTCCAATTATCCGAATCAATTGGGACCGGACCCCATTCGGATAATCAAAAATTCGGATAATTGGATTTTTTTTAAAAAAAATGCTTATTTTAAATAACTACTGTTTGTGTAGTGGAAATGAGGGGGGAAAATGTTTTTTAGGGATTTCTTCTAAGGATTTCAAGGATTCTTAAGGATTTCAACAATTCTTCTGTGGGATGAGTTGGTGCATTATCAACAATCAAAAGCACAGGACTTCCAACAGATTTTTGGCTTTTTTTCACTTCAGGAATGAAAATTTCATCGTACCACTCTGTAAACAGTGCTGCAGTCATCCAAGCTTTGTATTGGTTTTTATAAAATAGGGAAAGTTTTTTGATGTTTTTAAATGCTCTTGGGCGTTTTGACTTCCCTATTAACAGAAGGGGTATTTTATGGCTCCCAGTTGAGTTCGGGCAGTTAAGCACAGTAACGCGGTCTTTACTAGCTTTATGCCCTGGAGCACTAGGAGGCTTTGGCACTGCACTCTCTTTTAGAGGCTAAAGTGGTTTTGGGTAAAGCTTTCCATATTAGACCAGTCTCATCGGCGTTGTATAAGAAGTCGGAATCGTAAGAGGCTGCTATAACTTTAAATNTAATTATTAGCAGGATGTATATGTGATTAATTATAAACTACCATGCATTTCGAATTTCAGAAATATTTGCGGATATTAGTTTTTTTTTCTGTACTCTATTGTAATAAATTACTTCATTTGTTTAGTTTCCTTTAAAATTTATTGTTCTCTTACTTATATTACATTATACAAATATTACATTAAAATGATTTGTAAACATGCCTTTGCATGTTAAGATTTTTTTTATGGAAGTACTTGAAGTTACTGTTCGTATATCATTCAATTTTAAATTAGCTAGAACGCTGAAATTTTATTAGGAGCTCTCATTGACTCCAATGCAATTAACAATAACTATACATAAATATTATATTTGGTAACATATATTTACAATCAATATATGTAAATATTACCACTTGGTCATGGTAGCTCAGTTGTCAGAGAATCACTCTAGACTCACTTAGTAAATGCGATATACATGCTTGTTAAATATGTGGAATCACAAGTCCTTTGGTTGATCACTGAACATTACCTTGGGTACAGGAATCTGCAGAAAATTTCCTTCCTTTTAATATCTACGTCTAAATTGTGGAAGTGGTCTCACGATCTCACGTATGAGTGATAATGTCATCCCTCCGTTGGGTTCTGAGCCAAGACGTACTCTCATACTGGTCAAATGTATTCTTGTCTTAACGTATTCTTGTACCCTCTTAACTTGCTTGAGAGCTTAGTCTGTTTAAGTGTCGTTTGAAGCAACCACACGATTATTTTCTCACAGCATGTCTTCTTTTGGACATTTAGCCCCCTATACACCACATTCGATTCAATTAAATAAATTTAATTCCTAAATAGTGTAAACAAACATATAAAACCTATTGCCAATCAAAATTTCGTCCGCTTTCCAATGTGAACAAGTTAACAGACACAAAACTAGATGGAAGAAAATTATTAAATATAATTCTTGTATAAACAATGTTTCTGAAGCAGATTAAGGAGAAGAAGTTAATTATATTTTTGTCGCACCTGAAACGAAAAATGTAAGATACATCACTTTTTGTATTGAAGTTCTATCTCTATCAAAACTCTTCCTCGTCTTTTCAAACTAACGTGTTCTACGTTTTTGGTAAAAGTTGTGGCTAAAATAAAACTATTTTCTTCTCTCCAGTTTACTTGTAAAAACACATGTTTTAAAATTTTAACTTTTTATTACTTAACAATATAAATTGCACTTGTAAAGCTAAATCACACATTTAATTCAAAGCTCGTCTGAAATGAAAATAAAGTGGTAAATGATGTTCCAATTATTATTAACACGAAAAACAATATTCATTAATTTTTTTGATGTTTTTTGAAATATGTAAATTAAATATCTGATTTTTTTTCCTCCAGAATTTCAGGCATTTTCTCAGCATTGACGTCTGTTTAATGACCTTCTCAGACGAATATAAAGTAAAATGTTTGTCTTTCATAGTCATTACAGCATTTTTGTTATATATATTTCACCTTCAAGTAAGTCCATATTTTCCTTTGAGAACACCTGAAATTATCTTCATTGTTCCTGAAAATCCAGAACCTGTAGAGAAATATTTAATAATGTTTGATGCTGGAAGTAGTGGTACACGAATTCACGTTTATCTATTTTCTTTAAATGCGAGTAAGTTGAAAATTTAAAGACACTCTTTGTTTCTAAAGAAGATTAGTTTTACAAGAAAAAAAAATCGCATATAATTGAAATACGACTCTTTTGGCTTTATTACAAGAGTTTCAATATTTAGGAAGCTTTCGGTACAGTATAGCCGTTGTTGGCATTTATTCCTAAAGTTGAAAACTAACTTTTCGGTATATCAGAACAGGCCTATGTTGAAAAATCATACAAACCTACATTGGGAAAAATTCCAAATCAAATTACTATAAAAAGTATTGTCAATATGAGTGTGTCATATGTAAAATCCATTTTAACGCAAACATAATAACCGTAGAATTTTATACCATAACTTTTACATTAATATTTTTTAATTGCAGTGTTTCTCTGACTTTACAGTATTATTGTAAAAATAACTGTGTAGCACATTTTCTGCTGTGTAAAGTAAAAATGGATTTTACTGTAAAAAGTACTGGCACCCTGAGAGGCGGTACTTTTTACCATAATTTGATCCGGATTTTTTACACTGTAGTAGAAAATTACACGTTATTTTAAAACTGACGTAAAAGGCCACATATCATAGATATTTTTGCATATTTATTGAATATTTATTTTTGTCAACTATAACATCTGAGGGCCGGGCTGGTAAGGCGTTGAACAGTTCCAGTAGCAGACTCCCCCTGTAGTAAATGGCGTCTGGTGCACATTAAATCAGTCGGGTCACAAAATTATCCCAAGTTCCCATAACAAATCAATGCCTCTGGGGGTACTGAATTGGAGATTGATTGTTCTCTGGTTCAGATCAAAATTACGCCCTGGAAACGTATTAATAAGTCTGTTCTGTAAAACGGGGTGTGACGCATGTGTGTGTGGCTGAAAGTCGTATTCTTGGCTATAGATGGCGCCACTTAATAACAAGAAGCGCACCCTCTGCCTTAAATTCGTTTGGTTTCGCCAATCAGACTTGCTGGTATTGGCAAGTGGCATAAGAAACAACATAACACCTGATATTATTAATTATTACGTACTGAAATGATAAATATATTAACGCTATAGTGGTATTGAAAAGAGTTTTGAAAAAAAATGGTTAGCATAAAGTAGTGATTAAAATTATTAGAGTAATTTCATAATATTAAGGCCAAAGCTAATAGTTTGAACTTATTTTGAGTCTGCCTATTTTAAAGTATATTTTCTAGCAGATTTGGCCAAGGTTTAGTGGCTTGTACTCAATAGATTACATTTCAAAAGTTCTTACTGTACAATTATGATAGTTTGAGCCTCGGGAACCTCGGGAGTCCCTTGGTTCGAATCCTGCAGTCAGCCAACGAATATCTCTATCATACATTTCTCCATCCACATAAGTTTCGAGATTAGATATGGTATTTCAATTTTGAACAGCATTAACAGTATTCAATATTGCCTATTATTTGCTTCGGAGCTATTTCGACATATTTTTACTCAATTTTGACAAACCCTTTTTTACATTTAATGCTTATTATAGATTAATATGGCGGAACTTGCAAATGTGGGATTGTGTTAAACCTTACAACAAATAATATTTGTTTAAATTGATAATAATTGTATGTAAATAACAATTCTTAAAAGTATTATTTTTTTTTTAAGATGGTACGCTGACACTCAAAGGTGAATTTTATGACAAAATCATGAAAAGCTTGTCCAGTTTTACTAAACGCCCTAACAAAGTATGCACTTCTACTGTATTAATGAAAAACGTAATTTTTTTGTCACTAATTACTATTTTTAATTCTTTATGCAGATAATTCTAATGATTTGCACATTTTAAAATAGAATTTAGAGAGCTAAAGACACTGTAACAAATTCTTCGCAAAAGTCATGGATTATTTAATAAAGATTTAATTATTTGAAGCTGGAAAAGAAATATTAAGAATATCTACAGGGAGAAAAAAGATTTAATTCTTGTTCTATAGGATTACCAAAAATATTGGGAATTTTTACCGAAGCTTTTAGTAACTGTATAATATCGTTTTATTAACATAATGTTTGGTTTGAGCTGAAAATAAGGATTCACCAAGTGGCAAGTCAACTTGAATAAACGAACTGCCACTTTTTGCCATTATCATACACTCTATTACAAAAAAATGGACGCTCCAAGAAGGAGTTGTCTGATTGAAACGAAAATTGGTGGGTAGGAAGACAATGTACAGAATAGTAAATGATTAAAATTTCAGAACAATTGAATAATTTATTGCAGAGTTACAGTAACAAGTTCAATAAGATGTTGACCCGCCTNACAAAGTATGCACTTTTACTTTACTAATGAAAAGCTTATTTCTTTTGTCACTAATTAATATTTTTAATTCTTTATAAACATAATTCTAATGACTTGCACATTTTAAAAAAGAGTTTAGAGAGCTAAGACACTGTAACAAATTCCTTGCCACAGTAATATATTATTTAATAAAGAATTAATTATATGAGGCTGGAAAGGAATTATTAAGAATATCTACACTCAGAAAAAAATGGAATTCTGGTTTTATAGGATTACCAAAAGTATTGGGAATTTTTACCGAAGCTTTTGGTGGCCAAGTGGCGAGTCCACTTGAATAAACAGACTGCCACTTTTTGCGATCATTTCTTACTTTTATTCTTTTTTTAAAAAAATCAATCGTTTAATGATAAAGTTATAAAAGTTACATACTGTACGATATGCATACGGTAAGGTTACTGTATAAAAGTACATAAATGCAGAAAGACACTGAAAAACAGAATTTTAATTAAAATGTTCAATGTCTCCATTTTATATTTTGATCCTTCAGAATCCATCAATTTGTGATGGAAAGATTCATGTGGAAGGAGAGTTCTTTAACAATTCGCACATTTCAAAGTTTTAATGCATACATTTAATGTATTCTGCTTCCTCTAATATTTTTAAATAAAGTTCTTTAAAGTCATTTTGTTTAAATAAGTTTCGTCACTTATCTATATTGTTTCTATTGTCGAATTAACTTTTTATAGCCGTAAATTATTTCTAATATGCATCCTTTTTAAAAATAAAATTTATAAAATGGTGCAAATATGATATAATAGATAGTAGATATTAAAACGTTCTGTTTAATACTTTCAAAATTGCTGTTATTAAGAAAGAAACCAAGGGCTCAATTGCGTCAGAAAATTATATAGTTTGTTTAACTCCCCTTACTACCATTAGAATTACTAAGAATTACCGGAATTACGAAGAACTCCCGTTACTACTACTGACGTTCTTATTCGTCTGCTCCTGTGCCGGTGACTATGGTAACGAGGTATAACTATTTCAAGAAGAAACGTGTTGCCACGGTTTTCAACAGGTTTTGGCTACAGTCATTGAGAGAAAGGGAATCTTTTTCTTCGATCTATTGTGTTACCCTCCCTGAAATGCTCTATTCTTGTTTCCATAGCAGCAGACGATCCCAGCCTTTCTGACGGAGGGAGTTCTTATCGTGGACAAACTATAGAGTGTGCAAATTTTACATAAAAATAAATAATGACACTATATGGTTCAAAACAAAGATGACTACATAGTGTTAAGTGAACAAAGCCCAAACTATGTATTAAATAAATTTTTCCTACACTGTAAAAGACTCAGGATAAAATTACAGTTAAAAGTACAGACACTGACGTTGCTTTTCACCGTTAAAAATCCTTTTTCAGTGAAACATGTTATGGAACAAAAAAATTGATATACCGTAATTCTTATAGTAATAATTACCATTAAATCTCTGAATCATTCTAATAAATACATATTACATTAAAGTTTACTATATAATATTTTACGGTAAAAACGAATTTCACGGTGCAATTAAAGTGTCTGTACTTTATACTGTAGTTTGATCCGAAATTTTTTAAAATATGTTTTTTTCTCATAGCATATGATGCCGGTGCATAAAAAGAGCCAGTGATTATTTATATTTCTTTAGCGTTTTACAAAAAAATGTTAATAAAAGAGTTTTTTTTTTCATGTAGGCATCGCATGTTATAACTGATTTATTGAAAGAAGCTCATGTAATTATACCGAAAGAAAAATGGAACACTACTCTAGTTGCTTTGAAAGCCACTGCAGGGTTTAGATCTTTGCCTGTTAACGTATCAACTTCAATTTTAGATGAGGTAAGAAACATGACATAATTTTTGTTTGAATTTCTAAATCCTATATATTTAAAATAAGTTTCACTTCTAAGTTTCGAAATTAACAAACATGTTACATCTGTAAAGTGGTGTATGTTGAAAAAAGGTTTACTTGTAGAGCTCTATAAAAATATAAATTTTGTTACTTTATTTTGATTGCATTGTTAGAAATTGTTTAGGGATTTCCATTATTTATGTATTTTGTGTGTGCTGTAAAAAATTCCCGATTAAATTATTGTTAAAAAGTACCGGCCCCTTGGATCCGTAAAATTCATTTTTACCGTAGCATTTTATGTAGTAATTTTTCAGGGATATTTATTAATTACTGAGATTCAGTGATTTTACAATAAATATTACTGTAAAAATTGCGATGTATCAGATTTTTCATTCCGTAAAATTTTAAGGTAAAAATAGATTTTGTGATAAAAAAAGGAATTTTTTACAATACATAATATTTATTGTACTTACACCATTTATCCGATTTTAATTACTTTTAAACTGTTCCGCTATGTTTTATCAATTCCACGTACTTTATGACGATACATTTGTACCTTGTATCTTACTGCATGATATGCTTTTACTTATTACTTGAGACAGTATGTTTTTTTTAGATCTAGTGTCACTGAAACTTATATGTAACTAATCAATCATTCTTACATTATAGTGTTCTTGTTACGAATTTTCATCTTTATAGCTTTCTTATTACGAATTTTTATTTTTACAGCGTTCTTATTACAATTTTTCATCTTTACATCGTTCTTATAACAATTTTTCATCTTTATAGCGTTCTTCTTACAATTTCTCATTTTCATAGCGTTCTTCTTGCAATTTTTTATCTTTATAGCGTTCTTATAACAATTTTTCATCTTTATAGCGCTCTTCTTACAATTTTTCAACTTTATAGCGTTCTTATAACAATTTTTCATCTTTATAGCGTTCTTCTTACAATTTTTCATCTTTATAGCGTTCTTATTACGAACTTTCAGGTGCAGAAAACTGTAGAAAATTCTTCATTTTCATGTGCTGAGGAATGTGTTTCTGTGTTATCAGGCGAGGATGAAGGTAATGAATGATTAATTGTTACTATAGCAATATTATCAATTATCATTCTTAAACGAAGACAGGGTTTTATTATTTAAAAGATTTATTGTCGGAATAGTTTCATTCCAGAGCTTTCAAATAGTGAAACACTTGTTTGATCAAATTATTTGTCTTATGCTTGAAATTGTGAGAATACTTAGAATACGTTATTTATTTGATCGAGCCTAATTTAAATGCTTGTTAAAACTTATATAAAAATTGCAAAAAATAAACAGTTCTAACTGGAACTTTAAATATATTTCTTAAACCATGTCTTCAGCAGGGGTTGATGTGAAAGTTGAGTAACCAATGTACAGTACACCAAAAAAATAAATAAATAAAGAGAATAAAAAATAAATGATCATTCTGAATAACTTTTGATTTAATGATCTGATTTTCACTTTCTTGGACTCAGTCTTAAGAGCTCGAGAGAGAGAATATACTAAATAATAAGTGCAGGCGATATTTAAGTTACTAAATCAAAAACAAAAACATACTTTCTCTGAATAAACATACATTTCTTCCCCGACGTATTCTGAATTTGACCCTAATTCTGATTTAGCCGAAATCTGGGAAATATGGTTCCAATAGTTTGGTCAAGAGAGCTCTCCAAAGTTAATGCTAATTTTACTTTTTGCTTATTTTGCTATATCTCAAAAACTTTTTAAGCGAATGGAAAATTTTTTGCACACAATTATAAAATTCGTTTATCTAAAGATAATTCCGAGCAAAAAGAAACGCTTAGGAAATATTTATTATTTTTTATTATTTTATTTAAGAATGACCGAAATAATTTTGAATTCTAAAATATTTTTGTATAATTTTTAAGAATGCAATTTCATATGTCAAAATACAAAATTTGAGCGAAATTGGTCAAATAGTTCTTAAGAAATTGAATTAATAAAAAGTCAGACACTTAAAATTCGATTTTTCAAGAACTATTCGATCGATTAAGTTCAAATTTTGTATTTTGCCAAGCAAAATTACATTCCTCAAAATGACGTGAAAAATTTTATACCTTACACTTCCAAATTTTTTCGATCATTCTTAAATGAAATAATAAAAAATATTGTGATAAAAATACTAATTTAAAAACTGTAATGACTTTTATATGTATCGAGGATTCATTGACTATATAATTGACTATATATTGACTGAATCACTATTTCACTGACTAAAATGAATGAATAAATGAATGAATGAATAAAAACAGCTGCTTACATTCACCTTATTTATTACATTAATTATTTTTCCGTCAGAAATATTTAATGAAAAAATGATCTTGTCTAGTATTTTATTAAAATGTAAAATACCAAAAAAATTATTTCAGGTATCTATGGATGGTACACATTGAACTTCTTACTTGGTAACGTATTGCTTAAAATAAAGAAGTGAATAATATTTGCAATAAATAAGGATGCTTGACTCAACCAAATTTTTATTTCTTTAGGTGCAATTGAGAAAGAGAACAATTCAGTTGCATTATTGGCTGTTGGAGGAGGGTCTCTTCAATTATCTTTTTCACCAGCTGATACAGATTCAATTTCGCTGAATACTGAAGACTATAAGATCTTACCTAAAGTGCACTTTAGTCCCGTACCTATCTATAGTCGCAGGTATGTTTTGCTTATAACTTCTATAGAGAGAAACAAAATTAATGCTCTTTTTATGTCACAAAAATAGTTTAAGAGTGGTGTACTGACAATTTAACTGGGTTTGTGGAACAACGATAATTAGTGTTTTCTATTCGTCACTTTAAACACTCTATATTATTTTGTGTAAAACTTCAGTAGATCGAATGTTAGAAGGATGCCAAATATGCCAAAATAGAACAAATAGTTGTCTATTTATTCCTTTAAAATTTTAATTTAATTGAATTAAAGTTTTGGATTGTGTGAAATGTGTATAGAGTTTTCAAAACTAGAAAAGCTTGTAAAAAATGTAAATAAAAAATTTAACAAAAATAATTGTTGCAGATTGTTTTGAATTTAGTTCAGCTGTAACTAAAAAAAAAGTTTAAAGTTTTAAAAAGTCTTGAAGTAAAAAGTTTCTTTTTTGTATGAGGATTTTCTACCATCTCGTTCACTATGCATCTTTCTTTCAGTAAACACAGGATACTTGATCTTTGTGGTAGTCTTGTAATCATTCCTACTCCCCCCCCTCCTCGTTAAACTCGGTTTAAACTACGGAGTGAGTTTGCTATCTTGAGTTCACAATATCGTTTAATGCCCTTTAGCCGATACTGGATTTTGTGATCTTAAACCATATAGAAATATTGATGTTTCGCTGTGTATTTTAGAACACTTTTCGTGAACAATGTTTTTATTTTGAGTCAAACTAAATAGAAACAATTGTATTTTACATTACTTTATTTGTGCTACTCTAAATAAATCTAATTTTACTTAGTTATTTAGGATTTGGAACAACGTCTGCAAAGCTGTCAATACTAGAAATTCCATCAAATAATTCAGGTAAGATGTTACATTTATTATTAAAATATTAAATCTAAATTTCAATGTTGAGATATTTTGCAATGGTTTAGTTTAATTTTTTTGAAGGCAAAAACACTTGATTATATTTAATTGGGGCCCCCGTGCATCAAAGATTGAAACATAGAAACAAGACGGTAATCAAATTCATAGCAATATTTGTATCAAAACTGGAAAATAAACTAACATATGACTACATTAAACATAAAAGAAATTTATACCCTAAATAATAGCTTTATAACAACAGCCCTGAATAACCAGCAATGCCATCATTCATAGTCATTAAGTAAGAGGAGTAAATCGCAGATTGCGTTTAAATATTTAACCAGCCCGCATGAGAGCATTTAAAGTGAATATAAAATTGTGCAAAGAGGGATGCTTTTAAAGTATAAAAAAGTGTAGCAGATAGTGAGTGCAATGTAAACATTGTCAATTGGTTGCTGTATATGAAAAACTTTGCCTAGAACAAAGATCTGTGAACAAATTATACAAAATATTTCATGAATGGCGCACATTAACATTGTAAGTATCAAGAAGACTTTGGACAAGCAAATACCACTATCTGTAAAAGATGCGCTGCTTCTTTTGATGATATGGTAAATAATAATTGTAAGAGTGTTATGACTCCTGGACAATTATTCAGTATTTTGCCTGAATAAGAATACGGTGTATTCATGTTCTTCCGTATCGTTTTACTTCGCATTATTCAGTTTTGAACGCACCCATCTTAGCACGACTTTACATTCACTTTAAATGTTCTCATGCGGATTGGTTATTCTTAAACACGTATTCAGAGATAAATTTTTCTTACCTTTTTTGTATGGTTGGTGGTGCAGCTGTTCTTGCAGTATTTCTAATGCTATCATAATCGTAAATGTTTCATTAAGTTAATAATGATATTATAAACTGTTAAGTCAGGCATTAATTCAAATTCAAATCGTATTGATCACAAAACTGTGTCATCACTAATTTCAAAATCAGTCTGGCTGTCTTCTAAACTATATAAAATAACTTTAGACAATTAACTTTAAGAAATGGAAGAAAAATTTAGAAATTCTGATTTATAAATTAGGATTTATTTTGTCTTCCAAATAGAATTTTGTAAATAGATAAATAAACGACTTCCTAGATTCACAAAACAGAGATAAATATGAGCACACGATATTTAAAATGCAATAATAAAATATATAACAAATAAAGACTCTTCATGGTTTTGTGGTTACTGTCAAATTTGACTCGTAGTAGTAGTACTTTATTTAGATTCTGGGAAACATCCCTAAGAATGATCCGAAGACGTGCCATCGTAGTTTCGGTTATTTGCATAGTACATGGCTCCTCTGCTTTGGTTGTCCTTTGACCAGCGTGTGATGTCGAGTCATTTACTGTAAAACGGTTAAATGAGGACCTATACCACGTGCCCTCGGTCCCATCGCATCGGATTGAAGACTTCCTACCAACCGCTGCTGGTGATCCACTGGGAAACATGTCTTACGATCAGTCCATTGTGGGACTAATTAGACTCAAGTTAAAAATAATAACAGAAATGATAATGTTCAAAACATTAGTTACTTCTTGTTTTTCATAAAATAATTTAGCACTTAGGGATTATTTTTAAAATTTTAGTTGTGTCTAAAAGAAAAAAGAACTCTAAAGACCTTATCGAACTTTCTACGCCATGTGTACATCCGTTGGAGAAAATTACTTATAGATATAACTCAGAAATATATAGAATTAGGTGAGTTTTCTATATTTTCTTCTTGATGTTCTTATATCGTAATCAATTTTCGATAACGTTTAAATTCGTTACATTGAGTACTGAAGTATTAAATTTGTAAAATGTTTTGAGTTTTTGTGCCATTGTACTTATCCACCTAATCTAGTCCTATGAACTCCAAAATGATTTGTTTTATTTTTAATTTCAGTATGATTTTAAGCAATTTTAAACATCGTTAATTTTAGAAAAAAAAATTATTATGACATGTCCATACAGAATATAATAATTGACCGGAGAATTACGAAATTATTGTAAAGATCTTGTCAACAGATAACTAGCCTGAAACGAGATGACTAGTAACTTTACGTTTAAAGGAAATCAATAATTTGCAATGAATCAGCCATGGTGGCTCCAGAGATAGAGCGATCGCCTCCCAATGAGGTGACCCAGGTTCGAATATCAGCGTTGGCTGATTGATACGAATTCCGCATCCGACTTGCACCGACTACAGTCCTGACGTAAAATACCCTCAGTGGAAGACGGATCACGAGTAAGAGTTCTCTTGCCGTAAGGCTAACCATGGGAGGCTTTCGCAGTTTTCCCCTCTATGTAACGTGAATGTGGGTTAATTCCATTAATAAAAGTCTTCCACGAAGGTTAGTTTGTCCCAATGCTTGAGTTTCTTTGTCTTCTGGATTTGGTTCAAAATTACAACAATACGAAGTTGAATATTAGCAGTCGTAAACCAAACATTCAGTCGACTGTTCAACCACGGTTATAAATGCTTGATCCATGCATTTATTTGTATTCTGGGCTAGGTTCGAAATTATAGGGATACAGAGTTTAACTTAGATTAATTCTTAAACTCTAATATATGTGTCATATATGTAAAATATGTATCAGATATATAGAATAAAATTGAAAAAAAAAATTGCAATGCAATTAAGCAATTCTGAAGGTTCGAAACAAAACTGCAGTTTGTATTATTAATTTGTATTCATGATATTCCGGAAATAATTAAGTTTGTTTATAAAACCTAATCTATCAAGATAAGTCTGAACTGTTAAAATAAAATACGCATTTGTTATGTTCATTTCAGAGGAGATCGACATGGGAAGTATGGTTACAAGTATTGCTATAAAAAAGCTGTTGATTTTTTGGGCGATACAGTTAGTGTGCCTGAAGAGCTAAGGAATCGTGAAATCTACGCCGTTTCAGCACATTTTATCGACGCTATTGCCTCAACGCTATTGGTGTGTAAGTTAATTACATACAACTAATCTAATGTCATAAATGTATCAATTCTATATGATTCAATACTAAATGTATGTATAGTATTAGAGTGTGTGCCACAATTATGGTTACTTCTCATTGTAAGCTTAATCAATACACCAAGTGTAAAGCGGAGTATAAGCAGACTTATAGTTCTTTGTCTGGAAATAAGACCAATTAACCTTAATGAAAATAAGGTAAGCGAAAGTATCGACTGTTTTTCATTCAGTCTTCATTTTCCTTTTTTGGTCTTTCTCATTTCCAAAAGTTCACTTTGTTTTTTATTTTATTAAATTTCATAATGTTTTTTAATGAAATATCTTATACTTTGTGTAAATTGTTCAGAATAAAACAGGTCATAATATACATTTTTTTGTCTTCAAAAAATAGAAAATTTTTGCTAAGAAAACTAGTAGACTCTTCAAGTTTTGTTGTCAATATATGTTATTTACAATAAATATTAAAAATAATCAACTGAAGATTTTATTCCAATTTATAGATGAACCAAGCGGCAGTTTTACTGTAGGTGAATTTGTGAGTTCATGTAGGTTCTTATGTGAACTACCCTTAAGAACATTTGGATGCCTGGAATGTTGCTATATTGCAGCATTATTGCAACATTCTATCGGGCTTAGCAGCGAAAAGGAGATAAAGGTAAATATAGCAATAACATTATTATGATACACTCATTGTCATAAAAAATATCGCACCTAGAAAGAGTAGGCAGAATAAAACAAAATTTTACATAACGTAAGTACAACGATGATAAAAGTAAGAGATTAAAAAATCAATGTTAAAAGGATAATTTATGGCAGAAAACGATAAAAATGAATGGAGGCTTTAGCACCATCTTGGGTCACCTATAGGGGGAATGCAGGGTGCGAAACGAGCATGCATTGAGGCATAAATATTCCTTATAATATCCTGCTGTATTTTGTTCTACATTTGGAGTTAAAACATTGCTAAATCTACTAAACTCAAAATCTGCCCAACTTGTCGTCTCAAGTGGGCCCAGATATGCTCCTTCGGTGACAAATCTGGGGATCCAGAAGGTCAGAGAGAAGTGGTAATGTACTAGAGGCATTACTGTGACATTCTTTCTGTGTGTGGGAGAGCATCATTTTGATGAAAAATGACTCATGGACGCCCTGCCGTGGCCATGAGTGGCTGAAACGTACCACAGGGCTGTCATGGCGCCGTGAATTAATGCAAGGGATTATCGTGTGTCGTACAGGATTGCACCATATACCATGAAACCAGCTGTAGAAGCGGAGCGCTGCTGTATAGTGTAACCTCGATTGAGTCCAATCCCATCGAGAGCGACACCATCCAAACGAGAGGCAGTGGTGGGTGTTAAATCCTACTTATGCTGTTCAGTGATACACCACTTTTACAGCTTGTGTGATGGCATGGGGTGCCATTTTATACGACGCATGATGACCACTAATATTTTTCCTTAAGGTATCTCTAATATGTTTCCTCTAATACCTCTATATTTTCCCCTTCAAAGTTAATACTAGAAAGCACTCCTTTTTGCGGATATAATCGTGTGAGCAGATGATGAAATTATATCTTTTCATTATTTTATTTTCAAACTTTCTTGTACATTTTTTTTTTAAATAAAATTTTTTTAAAAATTTTTTAAAAATATTTTATTTTAATAATTTTTTTTTCTTCCCTTTTCATTAATCTTTATTATATTATTTTCCATACATACATTCTCTGCATTTTTAACTTATTTTACGAATTCTATATACTTGCAGCTTATACACAGTAAATAAAACTTTAGTGAAACTAAATAAATTTTCTTAATTTTCTTCGTTTTACTCTCCTTTTTAATTGTGCTAAGAAAAGAGACTAAAACGAACATATATATTTATTTTGTTTTTATTTCATCTTCAAGTTCTTATTTTTCAATTTTCAAATACTCTTTCTCACCAGCTGTGACCTTATCATTTCGGTGTTGACGAAACACTTGGAATTATGTATTTATTATTTATCTNCCTTCACACTTTTTCTAGGCTTAGGACTGGCAGTACTATCTAAAATAGCTCTGGCGTGTTTAAAATTTTTTCCTTTTTCAATTTTTAAATATTTTTAATTAAATTTTTTCCTAATTTTTTTTTTCATTTTGAATTATTTTTATCATATTTCAGTTTTTTATAATTTTTTTTTGTCAATTACTGATTTTAAAACATTTGTCATTATTTTCCATTGCAAAAGAAATCCAGCAAAGATCTCGCCTCAAAGAAGACGCGTTTTTTTAGCGGCCATTTATCCCTTATTCTTTTTAAATAAATCAACCGAACTGGATCAACATCATTTTGGCGTTCTAGCCAATTCATTGCGAAATCTAATGGATTGCATGCTTCTATATGAGAAGACTATTTTGAACTTGATCACCTACTTCTTTCACTTCGTCTGTAGAGTTCCGATTTTCATTCAAAATTTCAGCAACATTTTCCTCCAAAAGATCTACTGGTTCTGAAACTTCAGTTTCGTTTGTTTTTCTGTTAAGAATTTTATTCCAAGATTTAAGATTCCAAGCACTGTAATCACTAATTATTAACCATAAGTTACAACTACCCATTCCCCAATTACAGAACTTATCAATTCATAAACTCCTTCTGCATTCCAACCATTGTAGACTATCAAAATGAAGCTTGCATTCTTGGAAGATAATTTTCTGTTGTAAAGGGCTATGGGGGTATGTAGGTTTAACTGTATCACAATACATGTATGTATGGCTACTATGAGAAAACTGCTAAAAGGATTGTAAATTAAATATGGTCTTCTAGGGGGTATTATTTATTCTTTTCAATTTAGAAAAATTGTCGATAGGTTAAAAGTATTCTAAACTTAAAAAAAAAGCGAATTCAGACACAGTTCGGATAATTGGACGTTCGGATAATAAGGGTTTGGATAATCGGCGCTCTACTATATATAATAACCATATGCATTGAAAAATTTTTGGACATGAATGTTTGTGCATAAAAGGTGCTATTTATAAACCGTCGTGCACAAATGTTTAAAAATGATACTTTACGTATCTAAAACATATTCAGAGATTACTAGGGTGACTAGAATGCAATTTCTTTAATATAATCAAATCAGTTCCTAAAATAGTTTACATCCCGTGCTTACTCATTTTATTAGATTCCCTGAAATAATAAAATAATATTTTAATGCTTGCAGTTCGCAACTCAGATTAGTGGAGTTTCAACCAGCTGGAGTTTAGGTGCAGCTCTCAACATGCTTTGACTGTTCCGGTTTTACTCAAATTAGGAAATTTTTCGGAGAGAATCTTAAGAATTCTAATATTCATAAAACAAGATTTTCAATAAAATGTATACTAATGTATGCTAATAAAATACAGTTGTTTTAAAATGGCATGTCGTTTACTTATTCTGAATAACCTATTCTGATTTTATTCACTCTTGAATGCATTTTGTGAAGATAATTAATTTTATGTATTCTGGTAAGATAAATTTGTAGCACGTGCATACTTTAACTTTTGATATGTTTTTAAACCTATTGATTAAAGCATCATGTCCTTTTTTGAACCCTGTGGTATTAATTTCGAATCAATTTTAACTTCCCATTTTCTATATAACAATATGAAATGATACATAAACTTTTCTTGATTTGTTCATATAATAGAAACAGTTTTTGCCTGTTTGAACTATTTTATATTCTTCGTCCTCTATGCACTACAGCCCAGTTCGAGGTTTTGTTTCCAATTAGTTATTTTTAATTTTTCAAATCTTTCTCAAAATTTTATCCAGTCATCACTAAAGGAAACTTAAATTATTTCTATTTCTTGATGAAAAAAACGAGAATTATTTCTCTTTAACTGTTGTGTAGAATAATTTTACAAGTTTTGCTTTTATAAAAAAATATAATTTTTCCTTAAATAAATTTTTCTGATGTGATGTAAATTTAAGTCAAAAAGTTTAAAATTTTATTTTGTATTTTACAAATTCAATGTCAAATTAAAATGTTAATTTTCTTTTTAAAAAATATAATTACATTTTTATTTTTTCCTTTCTTGCAACGAGTTAAAAAAACAATTTTCACTGATTTAAAAAACAAACTAATACTTTCCCAATGGCATTATTAGGTATATTTTTGTTTTGTTTTGTTACTGTATGACATAGCAACATATAAAATGCATGCTCATTTAATTTAGATTTTAAAATTAAGTAATAGAGAAAACATTTAAAAAATAATGTGCTTTCTTGTTTCGTGTTACACTTAGCGCAGTAGAGTCGATTCTGGATTTTTCTACATTAAACTCTGTATTCAGTTTAATTCCAGGAATACATGTAGTTTGCCATCACTAGTAATATATAATATATTATAATATGTACAATTATACTAGGAGATTTCAAAATTGCTAAGTTTTGTGATCTTCTCTGGAAAAGTCTACCTTTTTAGGTAAATAAAAAATCTAAGTTGCGCCAATACTTACTTCTTTTTGTTTTAAATCGGACATATTCCACAATTGCACAACACTTTCATTCCGAACGTGAAGTAAATTTTTTTTGTCTATAGCATATTAGCTTTTAGTGACGAGAAAATGCTTTAATTTAAATTGATTTGATGGTCGCAAATATATGCGAGTGTATCACAAGTGTGATTGCAAGCAAGGAAAGGTGCCCAAGCTACATGATGCCCAAGACAAAACTTTAAAACCGTATTATTCCCAGGACTACATGGTGCCCAAGACAAAGCGTTAAAGCGACAAGTAAATGTCTAAGTAGAACTAAAACGCTATGGAGGACGTGTAAAGTAAAAAGATTAGCAGAAAATGATTGACACAAAAGATTGGCAAAAAATAAATATAATATTCTTGTGTCTAGTTAAAGAATTCATTGGAAAATAATTAAGTGTTTACTTTTAGCCAATTTTTTCAAACAGAGTATGTGCCTCTTGTTGCCAAGCTAACCGAGGGAGGTTTTCGTGGTTTTCCTTCCCATTTAACGCAAATGCGGGTTAGTTCAACCAAAAAGTTCTCCACTAAGGCAAATTTCTCCTAATATTTGCTCTTAGAGTTCCCTTGTCTTCTGGATCGGGTTCAAAATTACAAGGCTACGCAATTGAACATTAGTAGTCGTAAACAGAAAAAATTGGGTCGGCTGTTCAACGATTATAAGATAACGGTTATAAAATAAAATAAGAACAGAGTATGTGCGTTGTTGCTCAGGGGATAGAGCACTTGCTTCCTAATGAGGTGACTCGGATTTGAATCCCATCGATTCGAATTCCGCACCCGGCTCGCATCGACCATAGTACTGATGTAAAATATCCTTAGTAGTAGTCGGATCATAGGTAAGAATTTCTTTGCCATCAAACAAACCGTAGAAAGTTTTCGTGATTTTCCTCTCCACGCAAAGCGAATGCAGATTAGATCCTTCAAAAAGTCTTCCACGGAAGCAAATTCCTCTTAATATTTGCTCCTGGAGTTCCCTTGTCTTCTGGATTGGGTTCAAATTACAAGGCTGCGTAGTTGAACATTGATAGTCGTAAACCTAAAATGGGGTCGTCTCTTTGAAGACGATTCTAAAATAAAATAAAACATATTGTGTGTTTTTTTAAATTTTTTTTTTAGAATGTTTCAGTTTGAGTGTGTGAGAAGTTATTAGCTTTCTTTGCTAAAACTGAATTTCAAATTCGATAAATATTCAAATAAAACTTACGCAAGAGTCTATATTTTTAAAAAGATGTCCAAAGGGTGGTTTGGAAAAGATATGTTTTTACTGTTATACAAATCAAAATTTAACAAGAGAAAAGTTTGTTTAAGTTAAGTTGATTGAATTTGTTAAGGCTAAACTAGTGCTTGTGTATCATTCTTAGAAATTGAGTCAAAAGGTGGTTTTTAATAAAAAAAATGATGTATGTTTTACAGGAAAAAAAAGAAAGAATTGCGCAGCTTATTTTTAGTGCCATGTAACATAATGTTTTTTTCGTCTGAATTCTTTATTTTATTGATCAGCTCTTTACATAAAGAAGACATTTTGCTTATGTTTAAAGCACTCAAAAATTAGTGTACAAGGATATATTTTATAGTTATTTGGTTATTAGTAGAAAATAATTCATATACAGCAAAATCTTTAATAAATAGGACTTACTGAAGAAAAAATATTTTACAAATAGCATTGAATAAAAAATATGAATTATTGCACTTAGGTTTTATGTAATAATTACTTATAATTTATGAATTTATTATGAATAATCCGCAGATTAAAGTGACGTAAATTAACTCGATACTTTATTTCTTTGCGAAATTCTTTATGTTGACAAAATGTATTTATCACTTCTAGTTTGGGACTTTGTTGATTTATGTTTTTTGTTCGTGCTGCCATCTATGCATTAAAATTTGAAAAAGCGGAGATAAATTAAATTTTGATAAATGAATAATTTCAAAATCTAATTAATTACCTTTTTAGCATGCTGCATGTAAGTGAATGACGTAAGCTCATGCTGAAAGAATAAATTGTGAACTGACTTAAATCTCAGAACCATTTGTATGGAATGAATAAAAATATGTTTGTTAGCAATCGCAATGTTACTATTGAAAATAATTTTATTTTATGAGAATAACTTATACATATTTAAAAAACAAGTATTTTAAATAAATGTATATATATTACACAAATGTTTTTTTTCCGAAAAATGCTAAAGATTCTTAGTTTTCTGAATGAAATTCTATTTTTATTGAATATTTTTGCATGAGATAGATTTTACATTGTTTTAACATTTTAAAACAAATATAAATTTTTTTTTGAACTTTAACTTTGCAAAATTAATACTCATTTCGGGTACGAGTGATAAGTAAAGTTTTAGTTACAGGACAGCTTATTTGCTAAAGTGATTTTTTAATTAATGTCCTGATTAGGCTAGATTTTATTTTAGATAACGTCTTTATTGTTTAATCACAAAAAGTTTGTAGCTCATTTGTTATACATTTATAGACAGATTAGACAATTGTTTAAGTTTTTATATGGGGCTTCTGGAACTATGAAATTTATATAGATTATTAATTGTATCTGTTTTCTCCCATTCCGGTATCCCTGTTTAATGTATCTAGTAATAGCAGAAATTTCGAACAATTTAACTTTAAAATTTGTATGAATTTCCCTTTAAATTATAAAATAAAATTAGTTAACTTGAAACTAATTCAATATTTATTGTAAAATAAATGCGAAATACTTTACACATATCGGTGCAATGGGATAAAAGTATTGTCAAAAGTACTAGAATATGGTGAAATTTACTGTGTTTCTGTAAAAATCCCGGTTCTAATTACGTTTTTTTTATCAGAACATGTAACGGAACAAAAAATCTGATGTACTGTAATTTTTGTAGCAATAATTACCGTAAAAGCACTGAAACACTTTAGTTAAAAAAATTAATGTAAAAACTATGGGATAATTTTACGGTAAAAATGGATTTTACAATGATGCACCCATACTGCACCCTGATGCACCTATACTTTATACAGCAATATGACTCAGAATTTTTAACAGTGTATGGGAACACTAAAGGGCACGGAAATTTTTACCGAAACATCCACATTCAATTCAATCTGTTTTCATATTTTTATATGAACGAATTCGTTTCATAACTATAACAGATAACGAACTCGTTAGGGGGAAAAACGAATTTTTAAAAATTAACGATTTGGAATTATTTAGGATTATTAATTAAATGTTTTTTCTGTTATTTGTCGCAATTTCAGGAAAACACTTCATATATGCCGTAGGCTGCTTGAAAAATCAAGTTCTTTGCAATTGTCGGCGCAATGCATCACATATATTGGCAGTCTTCAGTACTTTATAATCTATTTCATATTTCTTAGTCTCATTCGAATTACTCTATATGCATTTAAGCTTATAAAAAATGTACGATTAACTACTCAATCAAATTGAAGTCCTTAGGTTTATTGTAATAAACAATTGAGCAATTATAATAAACTATTGTAATAAAAAATTGAATGAGGCTGTTTAATATTAACCTTCATAACGCTGGACTCGTTGAAAACTTCCTGAAATAAATCAGATCAATTGAATAATGAATAAAAAATATTATAATTAGCCTAGAGGCATGTGAGATCATTGCAATAAGCCTGAAATGTGTCAACTACTTTACTGATATTGGAGATTTTTCCAATTAACCTGGCGCATTGAAAAATGAAGACAGCTTTTCAAAAAGAACTTGGTAATTCAATTAGCCTGGTGTATTGCACCTGGTGTAAATGAAGACTGCTCTTTACAAAAAATCGGAGTTATTCAATTAGCCTAGCACATTGCGAACTGTAGGCGGCTCTTTACAAAGCGCAAGAGTTATTCAAAATTATATACTTATTATATTTATTTTTATCTTTT